CATCTCCACCTCGGTCTAAACCCTCATCTCTTCACCACTGAACGACTGCAGCACTCTCTCAGCTAATCTGCTTGTTCTGTTCTCATCTCTTATCACTTTCCAGTTAACTCTTCTAAAAATTTTCTCAGGGAAATTCTCTCTTCAGAAACCTTCACTAAAGACAGTGTGGTCACTAAACCCTCCTCCTTAAACTTTCCAGGTCAGTTTTCAGTAAGGGAGGGTTTCTCCTCTTGACACTATGAATCTTGGGCTGGATAAGTCTTTGCTGGGGGGGTTCCCGTGCACTGTGGGATGTGTGGCAGCTTCTCTAGCTTCTACTCACTAGATGCCAACAGTGTCCCTGCCCCCAGCTACGACAACCCAAAACACCTTCAGGTGTTACCAAATGTTCCCCCCAGAGGCAGAATCATTCTAGCTGAGAACAATGCTTTAAGGGTTTTCTGTCCCTACCCTGCCTACTCCACCTAATTTCTCTGCGTTCCCCAGCAAACACCTAATTCCATAAGCAAAGGTGACCTTCTCCCAATTTAGTGAGGCCATCAAACCAAAGTCACTCTCATCTCTTCATCTCCGTGTAAGGTGTCCCACTTGCCTTTTCTTCTGAGCAACTCTTACCCCTCCTTTGCAGTGTCATTGCCACCACCCCCTCCATAGAACTTTGAGACGCACCTATAGGTGATCTCTTCATACCACAAACACACATCCTGCCCCTCCTCTCCTAAGTCACTAGGAACCAGCAGGTGTGTGTACTTGTCCTTACCAGGTCTTAACAGGTGGCAGGAAGAGACAAAAAAGGACAGGACCTTCATCAGACCCTCCCTAAGGAAGCCCATGGCTAAAAGGTTCCCGGTGGACCCCTGGGCTCCATAGGTGGGAGCTGGAGAGCTGAGCAGGGCTCTCATCTGGGAAGACGCTAGAGGACGGGAAAGGCTGACCAGGTGAGCGTCAGGCAGGAAGAACCTGGAGTTCTGGAAGGGGATGCAGCTTCAGAGCATAAGGCAGGGGCTCTTCACAGGCAATTATGGAAAGAGGCGCTGCGCTAAGCAGGGTACTGGATCCCAGCAGGACCAGATGCAAAACTAGAGCCACCGACAGACCCAGACATCAAAGTTTGCACGGTCCCTGTCCCCTCAAGGACAAGCCTGAGCAAACAAACCCACAGGAACAGTAAAAAGGCCCAGCTGTGAGGTTCATGGGCTTCACAGAGTCAGAACCAAGACTGAGTCATCCTCATACAACCTGGCACTCGACGAGACTTTCAGTTATTTAAGGCTGTTTGCTGTGAGCTGGCCTTGGGTTTGTCTCCCCACTAAATTGCAAGCTTCGAGGCCAGGGCTGACTTTATAAACCTCTTGTGAATCCCCCTTAACACGGTGCCTAGTTCAAGGCAGGAGCTTTCTAAATACATACTTGTTGGTAAGAGATGAATTAAGATGAAGAGAAAGGTGCAACCATTAAAATTTCTAAAGCTTTCACTTATTTAATTTTAAAATGACCCTGCCAGAAAGGGTGTTCATGATAATCTGAGCTTTTAGAAAACTTGAATTTAAAAAATGAATGATCAAAAAGATTAATTTACTTATGTAGAGCCCAAAAGGAGGCTAGTGGGGAATGGGGGGGGGGGGGGCTCAACTCTGACTTGTCTATTCTGAGTGCTTTTATCTCTTTTTCATTCTCTTCTCCATTTCAATGCGTATGTCACAGGCTGGGGGAAAAATGTCTTACTAGGTTTTGGTAAAGACCTCAGACAAAAAGACTAGCCCCCAAAGAGAAAAAGCTAACGGGGGGGGGGGGGGGTGCTCAACTCTGACTTGTCTATTCTGAGTGCTTTTATCTCTTTTTCATTCTCTTCTCCATTTCAATGCGTATGTCACAGGCTGGGGGAAAAATGTCTTACTAGGTTTTGGTAAAGACCTCAGACAAAAAGACTAGCCCCCAAAGAGAAAAAGCTAACAATCCTTCTCAGCAGAGGAGAGCAAACCTCTCTACCTGGAGATGAGTTCACTCACCAGCAACCTGTGTAACCTGCAGACTCGGAAAAGAAGTCAACAAATAACGAAAGATCCAGACATGGGATGGGGGCAGGGAAATACCACAGGAGCCCTCTCAATATGACTCAAAGGAGGGCACCTATGGAGAGCAGAATAATGACCCCTCCCCAAAGACATCTACATTCAACTCCGGAACCTGTGACAAGGTAGTGTTACAAGGCTCTGGGTCTTTGCAAATGTGATGAAGGTCATGACCCCTAGGATGGGCAGATTACCCAGGTGGGCCCAGTCTAATCACTTGTGTCCTTCAAAGCTGACAACCTTTCTTGGCTACAGTCAGAGAGAGAGAGAGAGAGAGAGAGAAAGGAGGAGGAGGAAAGATTTGAAGCCACCAGAGGAACTCAATCCATAGTTACCAGCTTTGAAGAAGGAGGAAGGGGGCCAGGAGCCAGGGAATGTGGGTGGTCTCTAGAGGCTGGGAACAGCCCTCAGGGGACAGCCAGCAAGAAAACAGGACCACAGTCCTACAACCACAAGGAACTGAATTCTGCCATCGGCCAGAATGAGCAGGAAACGATCCTCCCCTAGAGCCTCCACCAAAGGACACAGTCCTGCTGACACCTTGATTTTAGCCTGGTGAGACCCTTGTCAGACATCTGACCAATAGAACTAGAAGAAAGTAAACTTGTTTTAAGTTGGTGTATTTATGATAATTTGTTACACCAGCAATAGAAAACGAAAACAGCACCTCTGGTACAATTCAAGTAATTTTTTTTCTCTTTTGAAGACACAGACAGGCATTGCTCAGAGCTGGGTTCGCAGGTGAGAAAGCTGTGGCTTTTCTGACAGGCAGAGGTCTCATCTCGACGCCAGTAGAGTCCAGCAAATAGCTTCAGTGATAATCAGAAAAGCATGGTGGCTGCTTTATGGATGATAATACAATTAGGCAGGTCTCAAAAGGAAAGCAGAGAAGGGCATAATTAACTGAACTGAATTGCAAATCAGATGCATAAAAATCCTGTGTTTTTCCCTCAAAAGGGAGGGGGAAAAACCTTCATTCCAGGAAACAAGACCAAGATCCTATTCACGGGATTTATTGGGCAATTTAGCTATCAGGTTGAACATCATTATCATGAAGAGAGGAAAAGAAAAAAACTCTTAAAAAGGCTGTCTTTTAAACCTCTTGGGTAGTTTTCCAACTGACTTATTTTGTCTTGACTATTGAAAATGTGCAATATGAACTTGTGTCTTTTCTTAGAAGAGTATGAGTTCAGAAATATTCACCTACAAGAGACATACACCAATAAAAAATTTCAAAATCTAGTTTCATGCTTTATTATCAGCTAGAATAGGCTATTTGTAATTTGTATGGTATTTATTTTATAAACATTTATTGCACAACTACCAGGCACCTGGCAGTGTCCTTGGCTCAAGGAAGACTAAATAAGTCCTTTGACAAATCTAGCAAGAAAATGGCTATGTAAACAGATAGCTACATGACAGTGTGGAATATTTAATAGTGAAAACACACACAGTGGCAACATGGACACCTGTGTAGTGAGTATTCTATGGGAAGATGGTAGGGTAGTTCAATAGTCATCTACAACGAGATTTTTGAAATGAGAACAGAGGAATATTTGTTCTGCCCACACATGCAAAACAGAATACATAGCTACTTTTTCATAAGCATGTATAAACATTATCTTTTCTACAGAACATATGGAAAACATTTTAATCTAAAGTCTTAGGGTAAGCAAGCTTAGCAAGTCACAGAAGGCCACAGGATTGAATTTCTCTAAACAGGGCTGTTTGAAAACATTTAGCAAACATGAGGTTAATTTGGCAAACACAATTTCACAATGTAAAAAAAAAAAAAAGGCAGATAAGCATACTTTTCTTTTTTAATGTGAGGAAAATTAAGCACTAAACCCACAAATATCTAATTCCTCCTCTTTACCTACTCCTCTTCCCCAGTCTGGGTAGACAAATTGGAGGAACCTGAGTAGTAAGCATGCCTTCAGTTTTAAGTTAGCACCTACTACCCATTTAAAAAGCTGATATTGTTGCTAATCCAAATCACAAACATACTGGCAAAGTGAAATGTAACTCCTAAAGAACAAAAGTTACCAAAAGATCAAAGATTTTTAAAGTACTTAAATTTTAATTTTTTGAAAAAAACTGTATGAATTTGAACTTGACAAGAAAAATATGCATAAGCAGTTCCCAGTTTACTATAAAGACTCACAAAACAGGAAGATGAAAAAAAGGGAAAAATCTGCAGGTCAATCAGTCTTGACAGATAATGTAATATGTGTACTTTAATGTCAAAAAGTTATTATAGAGGTGATTTTTAAATATTACTTTATAATATAGGTATAGTCATGTTTTATAAACGTTGAGAGGAAAATGCATATGACTGCTTCTAATGGACACTTCATTCAAAAATAACAAACAGGAATCAGCTTAGATTCCTGAAACATAGGTTCTTTCACAGCTTAGAAAGACAGGTTCCCTTGAATGCAAAAAAACCCCCAGGATGTGCTCCAACACCAGAAAAAAAGTGAAAATCCACAAAAAGAGGGGGAAAAATAAAAAAAAAAACAAGACAAAGAGAGAGGCTTAAGCTTAGGTGCTCAAGTCTGCAAGTCAACATTTTCTACCAGCCCTTAAATAAGGAAGTCAAACAACTACAGTGACTTCTTTATGTAACAGGACACTTACAAACAATACAACAGAGTGTACTCACAAGAAGAAAGAGTCCAAATTGCCTCGATGTGCAGGAGACCCTCCAATGTAAAGTAAATCCCCTCTAATAAAATCTAGGCAATAAACACTAGGAGAACATGATTTATTGAACCAAGTTTCTAATTTGGCAAAACTCTTGAAAACATAGTTTTTACTTAGATTAACCAGAGGTTCCCAAAATGCAGGAAATACTCTTTGAAAACCAACATAAACATTCACTCAAACTTGAGGGATTTTTAAAGAGGAATCACAAGTGTTACCTACATATATTTGGTTTCTCTTGTATCGCTGGAATAAGTTATACATGATGGAGCCCCCATGGAGCTCAGTCAAGGAGGCCATGTCGTCCACCCCCTCCTCATTCCTAGGGTGCATAGCGGTCACCTTCTGGTGGGTAATTGTGCTCTGCTTGTAAGTGAAGACCTGAGGGAGGGAAAGGAATTCATTTGTTTAGTCATCAGCAGTCAATGATTTTCACAGAAGTTTCCCAAATTGACAATACAATCTCAGTACAATTTCAGCAAAAAGATCCTGAATTGGGCAATAAAAAATATACTCAAAGAATTTCACTATTTTCTTTATGGCATCTATATATTTCTGAAAAAAAGCAATTGCTGTTGGATGTTCCCAAAACACGTTTAAATACTAACCATCCTTTGGGAATCCCAGAAATTATAACTGTATAGTTCACTTCTCTATTTCTCCCATTGATATAAATCAATAACAGTTAAGAAATTGGCCAAGTTTTTAGAAAGTAATTTAGTTTCCCTACATAATGTTTCATATTGGCTCATACAATCATGTCAAAGCTTCATAATAAAGTTCTTCAACTTAAGTATTACATAATTTACATATTAAAATATCTTTAGTATTACATAAATTCATATTTATTACATAAATAACCCATATATCTGTTCAAAGACTGGAACACATCATCAAAGGAATGTTTAGAAAATGTCCTGGACTGGGCTGGCCCAGTGGCGCACTGGAGAGTGCGCCGCTTGGGAGTGCGGCGGCGCTCCCGCCAAGGGTTCGGATCCCATGTGGAGACCAGTTCCCGCTCACTGGCTGAGCGTGGTGCGGGCGCAACACCGAGGGTTGCGATCCCGTTGCCGGTCCCCGGTACGGGCGCGACACCGAGGGTTGCGATCCCGTTACCAGTCAGTAAAAAAAGACAAAAAGGAATAAAAAAAAAAAAAAAGTCCTGGACAATACTCCCTCTCATCGTGTGATCTTTAGTCAAAATAAATCCACTCAGATTTAAACCAAATTGGTTCAGATTCCCTTACAGGCCAGCCAAAAAAATAAATAAATAGAACAAAATTGGTTTCTTTGTTTGCCCAACAGCCCATTTTCCTTAAAATTCCAAAAAGCAATGAATGCTACATACATGTTGCACCACGTATATAAAGTGACTCTGACAGTAAAGGATTGATTATTGACTTCAGTATGTATTTCTAAAGTCTACTTTGCTCTTTTATCATCACTGATTTGGTACAGGATTAGCCAATTGCTTCTCAGCCTTTTGGCTCAGACCAAGTGTGATACAGGATTAACTGTGTCAATTCCATCGGTTGACTAAAGTCTGACCAGCATCACAGACAAACTCGTGTAGTACAATCATTTGATTATGGAATTCTACTACATATTTACTCGTTTACTAGTCGGCAGTTTTTATACTACTTGTATGACAATCATCCTTTTAGTAAATGCTGAAGTTTAAAAAAAAGCAAGGAAATAAATAACATGAAAAATATACAGCCTTTCACATGCTAACACTCACATGCACATATACACACAAAACAATTTTCTGGAAGAATATTTGCAGAACTTTTTGATTGAAGATTCTATTTTTAAATATTGACCAGCTGCCTACATGGCAACAAATGGTATGTTATTGCAAAAGAGAATGACGTGCTAAGAAATGCCAAAGTACCCATCCAATGGTTTTCACAAGTCATGACAAATGACATGTTTTATTTTTCTAGAGAAAAAAGTAAAACTTCAGCAGTGCCATTTCTACCACATGAACTCCAAGAGTTGGTCAAAACCAGTCCTGAGAAACCACTGGAGGCCAGGGCAGGGACCCACCCATCTCTTCTGTGGAAGGGCCACACTCCCCATCCACTTCCTGGGCTCAGACATCTACCAGGAGATGAGACAGCCCCGGTGGGCCCCCCCACCGTGGCAAAGTGGCCAACACTGCCGCGTGAGCACCCGCAAGGCTGGGTGGAGACCTGGGGCCCAGGAAGGAGCGCTGGGTGGAGGGGCCACACCCAGAACCAGGCATCAAAGAAAGAGGCACATGGACGTTCAAGAGTGAAGAGACACTTCGATATGACCTTTCGTTTTAAGTCATAAACACCATGGAAGAAAGGAAGGAAACAGAGACTTAGGCCAAGAGTGGAAGTAGCTCTGGGACAACCTAGATAATCCCAGAAGTTAAGCAGCTGAAACCCTCTGCGCTTCCCTAACTTGCCACATTCCTATGACCTCGAACCAGGTAGGTCTACGATTGGGCAGGGTGCTTGGTCTTCCACAGAAAGTCCCATTGAGGGTGAGGCAGAAGCACAATGTGTCTGGCCCGGTCAACTTCGGGCCAGCTGAGGAGCATGAAGAAGGGCTTGTGTCACCTCCTAGCTCCCAGCACACACCTGGGGGCATAGGTCTCACTCTGCTGTTTCAAAGCTCCCAAGGTCCCCTCCAAAACTTTCTTCTAGGAAAGAAGACAGGGCACCCAAGCCAGCACAATTATCTCCTGTTCAAGCCCCTGCACACTCACCAACAGCAAGTCCTTCCCAAGGTGAAAACAACTTTTTCTACCAACTGTCACTCTGAGTACACTGAGAAATCCGGAATTTGAAGATAGAAATAATTTAGAATATTAAATTTTTTGTCTATATTTATATTGATTCTGCTTTCTGGAAATAATCAAACACACCCTACAACACTTAGACACTTTGTGTGTGTGTGTAACATACACACATATATACAGTCAGCCCTCCATATCTGTGGTTTGTGCATCCACGGATTCAACCAACCACAGACTGAAAATATTCAAAAAACAGTTGCATCTGTACTGACCATGTACACACTTTTTTTTCCTGTCATTATTCCTTCAATAATACAGTATAATAACTAGTTACAATGTATTAGGTATTAAAAGTAATCTAGATGATGTAAAGTACAGGGGACACTGTGCACGAGTTATATGCAAATCCTACATTTTATATCAGGGACACGAGCATCAAACGATTTTGGTATCAGCAGGAGGTCCCAGAACCAATCCCCCATGGACAGCAAGGGACACCATACGTAAACATTACATCATTGTCTTTTTATTAAAAATGCACCAGGAACAGCAAGACCATGCATGAGCCCAAAGAAACAGCTCAGAGTTGGGCACATAGTCGCTGAAAAAAATGGCTATAGCCTGTAAATAAAGTTCTCCACCTTCCCACATTTGATTTCCTTGTATATTTTCAAGAGTACACTGTGTACAAAAGGTGGGCACATGCCCATTTCAGGAGTGGTAAAATCAAGAGAATAGAAATATTCTCACGACCTCAGGGAGGCAGAATCCTGATGGGAGAGAACAGCTACATGAACAAAACAGGAAGCTAAGAACAGAAAAAAAGAGACGTTATATCAAGAGATAGGATTGCAGCTGCTCAAAACAAAGACGACTCCAAAGAAAAGTTGTAGAAAAGTAGAGAAAAATGTATTTGCGAGGAAAGGATAAACAACCCACTCAAGATGAGTTAACATTTGCAAAGATCTTAGAACAAAGTAAAGATCTTAGAACAGGGTCTGGCTCAATAAGTGTCTGACAAATTTAGAAAATTTAGGAAATCCAATCCTTTGGGCAAATACTTTTTGCAGGTGTGTTCTAGGCTTACATTCTAGGGGATAGAGCTTACATTCCAATTCAGGGGAAGAAAACAGAAAACAAATATACAAGGAAGCATATAGTATCATAGATGGTGATGAATGTCTGTACAGATATATAAATGAGGGTAAAGGAGGTTGTTTTGTATCAGGTATTTGGGGACAACCTCACTGATAGGTTAACATCAAAGGAGAAAGCTTAAAGAGGTGAAGGACAGAACCAGCCCCCTGTATTCTAGTGTCATCATGCATTATTGGTTGAATGAACACCTGATGTAATTTAGAAAGATTTCAAAGGATTAGAGTAAGACCCACAATCTTATTCAAGAATTTTTAAAGACAGCCTCTTGGACTATCAAAAGTCATTTCTATGTGCAACAATTAACAGGATATTAGTTGTGGCAAGATTATTCCCAAACAGCAGGAAAGAAAATTCTAAGTTTAAAGAATGTAATTCTTTTTACGGGATTTTTTTCCGGAAGAAATAATAGCCATAATACAGTAATAAGATGTATTTCTAAAAACCCAACTTGGAATTCACTGAGTTACTTTAGTGGAGTATATACCAGGAGAAAGGTGGTAAAGTTAAGAAATAAGCAAAATATGGAAGATTAGGAGACAGGAAATCAATTTAGAGAAAATGGAGCCTCAGGACAAATAGCTCCTGGTCACAAGATGGACTGGATCAGAGCGGGGGCAAAACAAAGGAAATCAACCAACACTACTGAAAAACAAATCAGAGAATGCTAGCCCAACTCTGGATCCACTTCTGTTACGAAAAAATTAAAAGATAAGTCAACCAATTAGATAAAAAAAAAAACTGAACAACAACAAAAACAAAACAAATTTAAAAAACAGAAAACACAAAAAAACCAACTGAGGGCCGGCCCGGTGGCGCACCGGATAATGCGCCGCTTGGGAAGCGCGGCGGCGCTCCCGCCCGAGGGTTCGGATCCCACATACGGACCAGTTCCCGCTCACTGGCTGAGCGAGGCGCAGGAGCAACACCGAGGGTTGCAATCCCGTTGCCGGTCCCCGGTCCGGTACGGGGGCAACACTGAGGGTTGTGATCCGTTGCCGGACAAGGAAAAAGACAAAAAAAAAAAGAAAAAAACCAACTGAGCCATTATTAATCCCCTTTTATTTTTAACCTTAGGATAGTTCACATATTGCAAGGCAACCCCCACCCCCATCAGGCTTATGCGACAGTTTCTGTAGTAGAGCGTGAGATACACAGATTTCTTTTATTACACGTCATTAGGAATTTCCAGTCATAAAACCTAACTTTTCCAATTGAAGTGAAATAAAAATGAAAAACATCCCAACATGATCGATACACAGAATAAGGTGTCCTCAAAAGTGACAACTTCATTTCACATTAGCCTGGAATTTCTTCTAGAAATTTCTTCCATTTTAATCCCCCAAGGGACATTTGGCAATGTCTGGAAACATTTTTGGTTGTCGCAATTTGGGGGAGAGGAAGAGGGTACTACTGTCATTATGTGGAGAGAGGCCAGGAACGCTGCTAAACATCT